TTTCCCTCAATTCTCTTGGTATGTTTTATCCAAACTCTGGAAGCTGCAAGAAAAATAAATAAATTTATTGTATAAAAAGATCGGATTAAATATTGTAATGATTATTGTTTTAACTAAATTATGAAATAGATTTCAGATTATAACAACATTCAATTCAATTAAAATCAAAGATACATTTTATTGACCATAATTATTAAAGAATAGTTTATGAAAACGCAACAAAAAGAATAGCATGAAGCACATACTAAATTCCATTGTTTTAATCATAAGATCATGTTTCAATAATGAATATAGGCCTAGGCCTATCACCGTAAATGGAAGAAAGAGAATATGTTAGTAGAAAGATAAAAATGTTTTTAGTAGAAAGATAGCAAAACGGAAATAAAAATACTTAGGCCTATGATATTAATATATAGGGCCTAGGCATATTAAATTTTGCGTTTTCGCAACTCCTTCGGCGCTCCATATATTTGTTCGAAATAAACCGCGACCGAAATGAAGCGCGACCGAAATGATCGGCTACCGTCGAGAGAGGGTACGCTCAAAGATCGTATAGCGCCGCTATACGATCTTTGGTACGCTTACGCTCCGGGTTACAGTAGGCAGCCATCATGGCGGGACGGTGTGATGATTACTCTGACAGCAGTATCCGTTCTGACTTTTCAGATGGCGAAGGAGAATCAAATATGTATTGTGTAATGCATGTAACAGATACCGTACATAGGAAAATTAAGGTATTGAAAGCTAAGCACTTAAAAAGGTTTATGGAATGTGCACCCATTTGGAAAACACTTAAAGGCACCCGTGAAAGCGTGGTTGCCGATGAAGCAGATAAGATCTTCCTTCATCTTAGCGGCCTAGTAGGCCTAGGCCCGACCCTAGATAAGAAGAAAGTTGATAATAATGGTAGTTATGAAAGTGGGGCTGAAATGGATACGGATGCATTAGCGGCAGAAAATTCAGTTGAAAATGGAAGGTAAGAAATGTAATTTTATCAATTATTTATACCCACAATCTAGTCCTACATGTAGCCTAGATATGCTGGACAGCGGTTCGATACTCTGATGAGATGAACCATTTAAGCAAGTGTATGGAACGCCATATGTGCATGAGGCGATTCGTTTTCAAATTGGTTTCAATTTATGTGATCTGTCTGTAATAAGTTTTGAAACATATTTGAAAATGTCGCCATTATTGAAAATAAGTGCGAAAAGAGAAGATGCACAAAGAAACCAACTTTTCAAATATTCAGACTCAGAGAATGCTTGTTTGTTAGGCCTCCTTTTTACACTATATACTGTAGATATTCTTCCAGCATGCCATAGTGCATTAAAGATTGCAAGACTGAAGTTTAAGGTTAGGGTCAAGCCAGCTCCACCAATCAGATTTTTGCAAGGTTATCAGAACAATAACCATGACCTAGTTACTATTTCAAAGTACAGGATAGTAACATTTAATAATTATTAAAGGAACCTTATTCAAGCACGGTTTCAATCATTGGCTGTTGGTACAGTATTTTGAAAAACTTCACTTGAATCTATGTCTTTGTTTTTATAATATAAAACAAACTTTCCTGAACATTGAACTTTGAAGAACATTGTTGAGTGAATAATTATTGTATGTTATTATATTAGGCCAAGTAACAGAAATCCTTGTTTCCCATCCAGGGTTTTTCAAAAAAGTTGGTGAGGAAGGCACTTATTATTTGATAATTTGTTATTCTTCACAGTTTGTCAAATTAGCCAAAGCATGTTCACAATTTGTCAATAGTTTTTTCATTGCTATTCTTGCTGTTATCATGGTCTTTGTGTTTAAAATTGCATTTGTAAAATATAGAATCTGTTGGCAATTAAAATTTTGCATTTTGGATGTAAAAAAAAAAAAAAAAAAGTAAAAAAAAAAAAAAAAACTCCAAAATTTTAAGAATAACAAAAAAACAAAAAAAAAAATTATACGGGCCCAAAAAATGGTGGTGGTGGGGACGGGATACAATGAATTTTTGTTACTTGGTCTTATATGTATGAATTCTGTTTTTGATACTAATTTAGGCCTGTGTTCTTTTTTTTCTCTAAAACTAATAGACAAAATTCTCGCTCTAAAGATTTATTTATGGTCCCGTTTAACAGAGTTAATTGTACAAAAATGGTTTCATTTATCGTTTAGCTTTTACTTATAATACTTTGTTACATGAAGATCCTACTATTGATATATTCCATCAAAATTTAAGTTAATTTAAAACCAGTTTATTACATGTACATGCATTTACTTGATTGATCTGATTGGGTTTAGGCTGGGGATGTGTGTGTGTGTGTGTGACTTGTGACCCTGTTTCTTTTTTGTGTTTTTCTATTTATATCTTTGTTTTATTTATCTTGTAAATATTCTATGACATCCTGTTAATTGGCAAGTAATTGCTCTTGGATGTGGTTTTTGAAATAAATAAAATAAATAAATATACTTCATTTTACGTAAAAAAATAAAATCAAACCTCGTTTGAAAACCATAGTGTACTGTAGACAGGTTTAGATTGCTCATAAAAATTAAACCAAAAACTAAAAATTATATACGTACTGTAAATAATAAATTATTATATAAATATGGTAAATTGTAGATTAGTTGGTTTTTGGCCTAGTTGTTTTGGGGATGGAGTTGGCACGGGCCAAGTTGACATGGGGCCAAGTTGACACAGGGCCCAGTTGACATGGGACCAAGTAGAATTGGGGTTGAATTATCATAAGGCTAAATTGATTGGTATTAAGTTAAAAGGGATTTTCTCTCTGTGTTTAGTAGAAAGGTAATAGAAAACCAGAAATGTGTAGTTTTCTGATGCATGTGGAACTGGAATACACTTCATGTAACAGTAAATTTTAATGGATTACACTTAAGCCGGGCACTCACTTCATCATGTGACCGTCTAAGTTATTCCAATGACCAGGGGTAACAACACTTTCATGCTTTTGATTATTGGTTTGGAATTGGCTTTATAAATCAGTAGTATTATATTGATGGTTTACAATATAATTTAATTTAATGTTAAATTTATTTACAGGAAAAAAAGTTAAATTTACAACAATTATTTTACTTTCAATAAAATATTATATTTGAGTATTCCAAAGTGAATTGACATTTGAATCAAGAAACTAACTCTGAACATGGTGAAATAAAAGGGTAGTTTATGAAGCATGTTGGTTTACAATCTAATTTATATTTTATGTTTTAAAATTTTCAGGAAAGAAGGCCGTATTCCAGGTTTCCATGAACGGTGCTATAGATGCTTCTGTAACATTTCAAGTATTGAGAAAAAAATTAAAAGACTCAAGAAATATGAAGGTACAGCTAGTTTTTATCTGTAAAGAATTATTGTATTTTTTTTTAATTAAAAAGTCCAGATTTTTGTTGAAAGATTCTGATCAAAAAATATAATAAAAAGGGAAATGGGACTGTATTATTACCCAAATTTTTCCAATATTCCAAATTTTAGCCATTTCTGATTATTTCTTCATATACTTGTACGTCTTACAATATTCATTTGTACCACATACTCTAGCATATTTCTTTTCTTTCAGAGTCTGGTTTTAAGTTAAATGGTCTAGTGTTTTTAAAAATATCATACAGTAATTTTTAGAATATCATACAGAAGTTTAGGTCTGCCACCAGTGGCGGCTCTAGCATATATTTTCTGGGGGAGGGGCTAAGTTGTCCGACAGGGGGACTTGAGCTCGTAGGCTCGAGCTGGGGGTAGGGGTTGAGAGGGGGTTCAGGGGTTCCCCCCTCCCAAATGAGATTTTTTTTAAAGAATATCAACCTCTGGATGGCCGGAAATGGCACTCTTAGACTGTTACAGACATGTGTTGGCTTGGTGTGGGCCTATTTTTATATGTTTAATGGTCTGACTGCCCGACGAGCTCTGTCCGGCGGGTGGGGGGGCTCTTGACCTGTCCAGTGGGGGGACCCCTGGTTTTAGTGGATTTTGGCACTCTACAAATGTTAGCAACCTTGGTAGATTGATCTCCACTGAGGAATTATCTACTAGATAACCTTTAGTTCAGTAATTTTTTTCATTTATTTATTTCATTTGATTCGCAACAGCGGGTAACTCACTAATTACAGGATGGACGATCCTTTATAAAGCAAGTCTTGTTATGAGGCCTAAGGAGTTTTTAGTGGTGAAAAAAGTCCTGCTGTCAAAGGAATACAGGGAAATGGCGAACAGACGTCGACAATCGTATTGGGTATAAAATCATAATAAACCGTTGAAGGCGCTAATTTCCTATCCTCTTCTCAATGTTTTTGCTGTGATACCCATGATTCTTGCTGTATTTGTAATTTCAAATGGAACTTAAACTTTAAAAAATCACTAGTAGATATTCCAAAATTTACTCCGCTCACT